TTAATTGGTTTCCCTTTTCTTTGTTGAAGAGGGTCTGTGCAATCCTTCTGCCTAGTCCGCCATCTTGCCCCGCCTCCGAAGCTGGACTTTATGAAGAAGAACGTGGCATAAGGATTAGGGAAAGACTTAACAACCTGCAATAGGCAGATGATACAACCTTGCTTGTTGAAAGTGAAGAGGACTTGAAGCATACACTAATTAAAATCAAAGACTACAGCCTTCAGTATGGATTATACTTGAGCATAAAAAAAAACAACTGGATCAATAAACAATATCATGTTAAACAAAGAAATTACTGAAATTGTCAGGAGGTTTATTTTACTTGGATCCGAATTTGACGCCCGTGACGTCAGCAGTCAAGAAATCAAATGATATAATTGGGCAGATCTGCAAAAGACCTCTTTAAAATGTTAAAGAGCAAACATGTCGCTTTGTGAACTGAAGTGTGCCTGACCCAAACCATAGTATTTTCAGTTATCTCATATGTATGCGAAAGCAGGACAATGAAAAGGGAAGACTGAAAAAGAATTGACACATTTGAATTATGTTGTTAGTGAAGAATATTGGTTTTACCGTGGACTGCCACTAGTACAGACAATTATCTTGGAAGAAATACTGCCAGGATGCTCCTTATAAACCAGGTAGCACAGATTATTGGGAAGGACTCATGCTTGTTAAAGTAGGAGATGAGTGAAAAAGGGGAGACCCTCAATGAGATGGATTTACACAGTGGCTGCAACAATGGACTACAATACCTACTATTTTAAGAATGGCACAGGGCAGGGCAACATTTTGTTTTGTTATACATGGGGTTGCAGAGTCAAAACTGACTCAGTGGAACCTTACAACAGCAATCTTTATGAGAAACAGAATTCCTTGTTTTCTCCTGCAGAGCTTAGGTGGGTTTAAGCCACTGACTTTTCATTTAGCAGCCAAGCACTTAAACATTGTGTTCTTAGGGCTCCTTGACTCCTAACAAACCTTTATATAGGTGCAAACTGTAGTACTTTGGAAGTACTTACTTATACTTTAATTTTATCTCCTCTAGATTGGCATTGATTCTGTGGAGTTTTGTTTGGTTTTGATTTTTAATTTCTTTTTTTCCATGTAGTGTTTTGCTTTTATCTTCTACCCATTGGTATGCTTCAATTCTTAGTATTTGGCTTACTATTTTCTCTCAGTTCATTTACTGATGTGTGTTGCTTAATATCCACTTGGATGATGTCCAACTGCATATACATCCTTGGTTCTGTAAGTTTTTTTTTTTTTTTCTCCCTAATGAAAGCTCTCCTATTGTTTATTTCCCCCTAATGGTTTTATAGACCCCCAGACCTAGACTCAGGCAGCACTGGACCACAGGGGAATATAGCTAGGTGAGGCAGAGGGCATAGCTCTGGTTGTGGGCTCTTGGGCCTCCTGTTAGGCAGGCAGGTGGTGGGGTTGCTTCTCCTGCTCATGTGGGCTGGATGTGCTCTGCTTACTCCTTGCTTGCTTCCTCTTGCTCTGCTCCTGCTGCTGTCCTCCAGCCTGTCCCAGCAGTTCCAGCAGCAGCAACAGAGGCAACAAGGACACCCAAAAGCAGACTCCTGTAAGGTTTTTAACATGTTATTTGTACAACATACAAGTCATAACATCCACAGAACATATCATGGACACTAAGAGACATACGCCTGTATTTGTGTCCTAAAGAACCAAAAAACAACAAACTCACATGCCGTCAAGTCTGATCCAACTCGTAGCTACCCTCCTTGGGTTTCCGAGGCAGTATCGCTACAGGAGTAGATTGCCCAATCTTCCTTCCGAGGAGTGGCTGGTAGGTTTGAACCAGTAGCCTTCTGGTTAGTAGTCAGTTGTCCTTAAGTGTCACCTTTAAACCATTGGCTCCTACAACGTATTTCCACTTACATGTTTCATTGGCAGCCTCAAACCATTTTGAAAGTGAACTCTTCTTCCAAAAATACTTTTATCTTGCAGCTTTACTGTTTCTAATGATGATGCCACTAATGATTTCACTTTAAAGTACTTTTTATTTCTCTTTGTTCTCCAATTGTACTATTTTATTATCTAAAGTCTATAAACAGTTCTTAAAGACCTAGACATTCTTTTTTAAGTCTGGGGTTTTACACTTTAGTACATTTCAGAGAAAATAGTTGCCAGTTCTTTGTTTGACTAAATTAACTTCATTAACAAAAGGACCTCTTAATAGTAAAATTAAAATGAGGAGGTACATATTCAGAGAAAAAGACAGTTCTTTTCAAGAAAACTCAACAGCCTTATACTCATATATTTAAATTTATCCTTTTCTCATTTATTTCTCATTTTATCGACCCTTCATGCCACAGTGGTTAGGCATTCAGCTGCTAACAAAAGGGTGGTGGTTTGAACCCACCCATTGGTTCTGTGGGAGAAAAGACCTGGCAGTCTAGTCCCCAAAAAATTAAAGCCAAGAAAACCTTACAGGAGAAGTTCTTCTCTATCACATAGGGTCATTTCAGCAAAGTAGATCCCACACTGACATTTGGGAACAAGAGGCTCATCATTTACATGTGTAAATCTCAGTATCCTCCAGTGTGTCTGACATAATTCTGTATACAAAATTAAGTTGAAAAAACATTTATAGGACAAGTTTCCTAATGACTATATTTTCAATGCAACTTAAACCCTAGATTTAAAGTTGCAGCAGTTGTTCATCTATATGTGAATTTAGGGTTAAAAAAAAAATAGAATTAAACTAAAGATATAGGAAAGCTTGAATTTTAGGGTTTTTTTTTTTTTTTTTGGTTTTAATTTTCGTTTTCAAGTTAAATACGAAAATCTAGAAGTATATTTAAAAAAACAATCGTGGTACGTTGAGATAAGTGAGGTTCAGGTGGAGATGTGAAAAGTTGCCTCTTACTCTTAATTTGTGACATCCTAACTCTTGAGACTGCCATATTTTTGGTTCTCTTTTCCCTATAATACATTGGGATTGTAACTAATAATTTAAAGCTATTTTAAATACAAGTTGATATTTTGTTCTTAAGTCATACACTCTTATAATTTTCATAATTTTATACTTTTCTCTGAAAAGATCATTTACCTTTCTATAACGATGCTCAGGCTGATACTTTATATTCTTAAAATAAGTAAAATGCTTATGGCTGAGGAATGGCTATAGTAGGTTTTGTTAAAAGTTATAAATATTATTCCTGATTTACTGGATTTTTCAAGTAAAGTGCCTTCAGTTGCTTCCCAGATTCTTTGAAATACAATGTTCTTAGGAATTACAAAATATTTTGCCTTTAAAAATCAGGTAGTTTTTAAATGAGAAGAAAATTTTATTTCCCTGTTTTAAGGTGTATCCTTTAATGACAAGTCACAACATAGTTTTTAAAAATAAATTTTTAGAAATAAAAGGCTAAACATTTCACTTGAGTTAAATGAAACATTTTCAATACTGTACAACTATGAAATATATATCCAAGTCACTTTGGGACTCAATAATACAAATGAAAGTAAAGTATATTTATTTGGGATTGTGGTTCCCACACAAATACGGTTTTCAGTTTCTTTCTCTTATATTTCATAGGGTTGGTCTTGCTGTAAGAGAAGAACAACTGATTTTACTGATTTCTTAAGCATTGTAGTAAGTATTACTTTTTTTTTTTTAACTGAATTATATTCTCCAAAGTATACATTTTAGGGAATTCCATATTTAAGGCATCTGATTTCTGATGTCTGTTGCCTGACCCTGTTAACTTGCAAAAAAAAACATTCTTCTTTTATTATGGAGCTCTCATGTCTCCTTCCATAACCTCTAAAATAAGGACTTTATCTCACTGTTTTAGAGAGTAAAGTTTCAGGGAACTAATTGTTACTAATTTAAATTTGTTATTGACATTGGTAGTCTTGAAAGAACATCAAAAAGAAAGAAATAACAGGTAGCAATTTAAAACATTCTAAATTAAGAACAATAAATTTTGCATCAAACCTGAGATACCATCAAGGTGCACCATTATTTTATATACCACTTGGAAAGAAAAGTAAAGGTGCTGATAAACTGATAGGCCATTGAATGTGTAATTTTGGTAATGTTAAAAATGTATGTATGACTCAGTGGAATGTGAGTAAGGGTAGCTAGTGTTTCTTGAAATTTACTACCTACCAGATGTCCCAGGTACTCTGTATGTATTATTTGATTTAATCCTCTCCAAAAAATCATAAAAGTGCCATTGTCTCCATTTTACGGATTAGGAAACTAAGGTTTGAAAAGGTTAATTAACCTGCTCAAGGTCACATAGCTAGTTACCAAGAGAAGTGCAACTTAAGTGATTTTTTGTATATAAATAATTTATAGAGCCTCTTTGTAAGATACTCCAGAATTTGTCTCCTGCTTTCTTTGTGAGAGACCTATTTTCGATTCCTAGCCAATGCAGCTGAAGCATAGCCAGCACTCGTTTGTCATTGAAGGCTTACATGTTGCTATGATGCTGGATAGGTTTCAACATATCTTCCAGACTAAGATGGACTAAGAAGAAAGGCTTGGTGATGGACTTACAGAAATCAGCCAGTGAAAACCCTGTGAATCTCAGTCGTTCAGTCCACCGGGTTGGACAATAAACAGCAATGATGCAAACAAGAAGCTTATGCTGTGTATTTAATGGAATAAGTTAGGTATTTACGAAGAGTAATTCAAAGATTTAACATGCTTTACTCAAAGTGGAAAGTAATTTACAAATACACCTACTCCTTCCTCCAACACTATTTTGTTACCTGACATTTTGTATTAATGAATAGTAAACTCTGATTGTTTTGCACTTATCAACTCATATCTGGCAGTAATGGATTCCAGGTTCCCTGAGGAAGTACCTTATGGGCAGATACTGTGTTCATGTAGAAAGGAAGCTCAATATTTCATGGTATTTTACCACCCAGGAGGGAAAAGTGGGGGCAGTCTCCCTGAGGTTCCAGGTAAAGCAGAGAGGGCTGGAATGGGGCTAGTGGGGACATGACACTTCCTGTAGGGTCCTGGGTACACATAGGGGGCTGAGGCCAGGGCAGCAGGAACCAGCAGCCAAAGGTGCCCTGCCATCTGATTAGGGAAGAAGTGGGACCCCAAGGTCTAGCCCCAAGTCCCCACCCTGAGGGGCAGCAGGGATAGGACAGGCTGTGGTCAGGAGGAACCCTGAGATGTAGCACTTGTGTGCCTAGGGCCTGCGAGATCCCGCTTCAGCTAACTGGCATCCATACAGCCCCCTGTACTCCTGGATACCCCCTCCTGGTGAGAGTAGGGCAGGCTTCCCAGATGGAGGTAGGGTCAACAGGTGAGGGGCCAATAGCAGCTATAGTTTAAGGTCAGTGACAGAGTCCAGAGCTGGCTGGCATGGCTTCAGAGGAAGTTCTGAATTGTTGATTATACTTGGGCCCAAGGTAGGCAGAGCTGCCCAGTGAGAGTTGAGAGATGCTCAGGTGAAGGGCCAGTGGGACTATCCAACAGGCAGCATGCACCCCACCCTGGCATGCAGACCCTCTAACCCATAGGCAGAGAGCCTTCCGCCCCTTACAAAGCCCCCCACAGTAGTTTTGGGGTCATTGAGGAGATGAGCCAAGGCTAGTCATTCCAAAAATAATAGTGAAGGCAGGAGCAGTGAGAGACCCTGTTTATGGTGAGAGGGGCAGCACTTGGGCCACCTTGGCTCTGGAAGACTGGGCAACCCTCTCGTGGAGGCTGAGCTCTCCTAAGATGACATGCGGAAGGAGGGGGCAGTGGTGGCAGGTGACTTCAGCAGGACGTTCACGGTACAGGTGAGGGAGTGAGGTGATGTGGTCGTCCTGCATTTTTGTATAATGCCAATTTTAATACAATAACCTGATCCTTGGAACCTACCTATCTTGGTAAGTGAGGAGTATGGCAAGTTTGGAGTCATATTTTTAGTTTGTAAAATGGGTCAATGTGATAAAAGTAAAAATAAAATAGAATTTATCAGTAAAGATTTGGAAAAATTGTATTTCTATAATTAGATGTAAAGTACATGTGAGACTAACTTTTAATGAATACATTTCACTAACAGGGCTGTACAAAGGGTAGGCATAATAGTGAAAAGCCACCAGAGCCAGTCAAACCTGAAGTCAAGACTACAGAGAAAAAAGAACTATCTGAATTGAAACCCAAATTTCAGGAGCACATTATTCAAGCCCCTAAACCTATAGAAGCAATAAAAAGGCCAAGGTATGCTTAGTAGAGTTGTGTATTTGTGTCATACTTAAAAAAATAGCATTTATTCTTTGTGATTTTGCATAATATTATTGGTAGCTATTGTATAAGCCACTGTTTGGAACCATCTTTTTTTCTCCTTTTAAAGATCTGCCTTTACATTTTTTCCACCTTAATTTGAATGTATGTACATAATAAAACTTCATTACAGAATTGCATATTGTATCTTCATACTTAAACTCAGGATAAAAGAGTCGCACATCTTCCTTATCCTTGGCATGTATATTTTCCCATGTTGCACAGTGAAATTATGTAAAGGAGTTGTCCTAAGTCGAGGAATACATTTGAGTTGAAAAAGAATGTAGAGATTGCTTTCCATTCTTCTGCTTCTTTCTGGAATGTCTTCTTGAATATCCTTAACAGAATATTTAATTCCCACTGAAATGATTCCAGTGAAGAAGTATTTACGTTTATCTCAGAACCGTCCATATTGTTACTAAGTCATTGCATATTATATAATGGTTTTCTGTTAAAGATTAAAAATACATATACTGTGAAGTTATTTGTAAAATACTTTTTAAAGGCAAAAACTGATTCACAAGGCATTAGGCTTTTCATAAAGAAATTTAAGTGTATTCATTTTGAGGATAGAAAAATATTTTGATACATTAGTAATGGTAATACAGATTTTAAAATTCTCTAGCCCAGATGAGCCAATGACAAACTTGGAATTAAAAATATCTGCCTCCCTCAAACAAGCACTTGATAAACTTAAACTGTCATCAGGGAATGAAGAAGATAAGAAAGGTAAGGTTCTATTTTCTTACCGTTTTTTTTTGTTATATATATATAATTTAACAGTCATTTGAGAGATAGGAACAGGGTAATTTTCTAAATATAAATATGAAAAAGTACTACATTATATAAAAAATTTTTCCCCTACGTGCTAATGTTCTTGTTGTTATTTGCCATCGAGTTGAACCCGACTTGTAGCAATCCCTCCTTGGATTTCTGAGGCAATATCACTACGGAAGTAGATTGCCCAACCTTCCTTCTGAGGAGTGGTTGGTGGGTTTGAACCAACAGCCTTCTAGTTAGCAGTTAAGAGCCTTAGGCACTACGCTACTAGAGCTCCTAATAATACCTACAGAATGAATATGTGATTCATTTTACTCTCTTATTGTAAATGAGGACCTGTAAATTTTTAAGTTTTTTTCTCCTGTGATTCATTATTTCTTAATATTATATTATTAAGTTTCTTTGATAATTGCAAGTATTTCACTGTACGTAATATAAAATATCTTCAGTATTCTCTGACCTATACCCAGTACTGTGGGAGAGAAACACTTTCATGATTGCTCTATTACAAGGTTAAAATATTGGATATATCATTTGCATTATGAAATATATATGTGTCACATTATTTGTGGTACATAGATAAAACCTAATCAAAATGGTTTCTTATGACTTTTTAATACATATATATTTGAAAATTCACATAGGAAATTTAAATCATGTAAAATTACTTTAGAACATTCCTTGGAGAGATCAAACATGAGAGAGTAGAAGGGCTGTGTATGCATAGGGAGACAGCTTGGGGGAGGAGTGCATCTAGGGAAGGACATAGAGAAGAGGTAACTGGGGAGGAAGTGGGAACAGAGCTGTTGCATTGTGGGAAATTGCAGTCAATGTCATGAGACAAAATATATGTGAACTGCTGTATGGAAAATGAATTTGCTCTGTAAATTTTTACCAAAATCACAATAAATTTTTTTTAAAAAAAAGACTGGCACTGCAATAAAGTGTTCTATTTTAATGTTTCTAATTTTTTTGTTTGTTTCAGAAGAAGAAAGTGATGAAATTAAGATTGGGACCTCATGTAAAAACGGAGGGTGTTCAAAGGTATGCACTGTGAAATATATGTTATGTCATGAAAGTAAACTTTTTAATTTGAAAAAAGTACAATCATTGACTCAGTTCATCTGTGTGCTTATTATGTTTTGAACTATTTATTGACGAGAGCTATGAACATGAATGAAGAGACCCGGAGCTCCATATCTGATAAAAAGTCTGTCATGGAAATAATTGTAGTTTATTTAACACATATTGAATACTTAGTATGTGTCAGACATTGTTTTAGGTTCTCTGGATGTAGTATCAAATAAAACAAAAATTCTTGTTCTTGTAAAGCTGATAGTCTTAGTGTAGGAAGAAGGATAAAATGTAAGAAATTAAATGATTTGAAGTTAGGTAGGTAAGAAAGTAAAGAGTGCTTGAAATATGGAAGCTATTTAAATCACCTTAAATAAGGTCAGGAAAGTCCTTTTTGAGATGATGACAGTTGTAAATTTGAATAATGTGACAGATAAGTTATATAAATGCCTGGGAGAAGAATGCCATAGATGGAGCAGCCTCTCCATGTATACAGGCTTTAGAGCTTGTATAAAGAAGGAATAGTAAGATCAGATGGCTTGGCCTGGCCATCACGAGATGAATGGATAACCAAACTATGGTACAAACACACAATGGAATACTATGTAACATTAAAGAATAATGAAGAATTAGCAAATCACCTTATAATGTGGATGAACTTAGAGGACATTGCGCTGGTGAAATAAGTCAATCACAGAAGGACAGATACTATATTAGTACATTATAAAAAGCTAAGGAAAAGTTAACATGGGGAAGGAATTTTCTTCGTTGGTTGCCAGGAGGGGAAGAGAGGGTAATGAGATAGTTAAGAGACAGGTTTGATATGGGTGAAGTGAAAAGCAATGTAACATAAGCATGTGAGTAGCACAATGTCACTGAGGAAAAAGAAGGCATGGAGAGGTGCACAAGAGGTACTGACAATAAAGGCAAATATTGCATACACAATACTAGAGTGTTAGTAACAGCAAACACTAATCCACAGGTGGATACATAGGCAAAAAAGATCAGATATAGATAGGTGAATGGTGATACAGTCACAACTATATATAAGTTTGGCAGACGATACTCCTTCATACATATTTTTATGTGCTATAAAAATGGCCACATACACTTTAAACTTAACAGGAGGCAAAGATTGTGTAGCTTCTTAGCAACAAATAAGCACCTTGAAGAAGTGAGTTGTTGGGCATTCAGGCTGGGGACCATGGTTACAGGGAATATCAAACTTGATTACCACTGTATGGTATGTAAAAATACTATTCTGTATCTTATTTTGATGGATAGTGACGTGGGTCTTAAAAAGCTAGGAAGCATCCATCTAAAGTGCAAATATGGGTGTCTCATTGTCTGGAGCAAAGTATAGTGAAGAAAATCAAAGTAACATGGAAACAGCCAGCCCAAAGCCTATATGACCCTGAGACCAGAACTAGATGGTGCCTTCCCAGCTACCAATGCCAACAATTCAGAAAGGGATCGAATATGGAGATCCTGGATAGACTGGTAGGAAAATGTAGAACAAAACTAAAAATCATTTAAAAAAAAAAAAAAAAGACTTTCTGGTCTGATGGAGACTCATGAAATCCCTGAGGCTATGACCCCCAGCCAGCCTTCAAGCCTGGATTTCAACTCACTTCTATGGCTTAACTCTTACTCAAATGATAGGTCTTATGACCTGAATACCTACACCAGGGAGATGTACTCCTTAGAACAGTCTACCATGGGAGATCAGAAGGGCACCATTCGCACAGAGAGAAATGGAGGGAGGCAGGAATGCGTAGTCTAGAAGGGCACAGGGAAACTAACCATAGGGAGGAAGTGGGAAGAGAGCTGTTAACACTGTGTGAAATGTAACGAGTGTCACAAAGCAAAAATGTGTGTGAACTGTTGAATATAAAGTGAACCTGCTTTGTAAAATTTCACCCAAATCATAATAATTAAGAAAGATTGTGGCATTGGTCATGGGTGAATAAGTTATGGGTAAGACCAGTTGGCAGATGCGGAAGCCCTTACAAGCCATGATGAGGAGTTTGGGCTTTCTAAGCATGATCAGAAGCAATTAATTCATTCTAAGTATGAGTTTCTGAATGATTTCTTTGGCTAGTGAACAGCAGTTTTATTATAATGCATCAGGAGTAGTATTAGGAGGGAAATGAAGTTGGATGCTGTTGTGTAGTCTAGACAATGGAATTGTAGTGTAGAGATAGAATTGTTGACGGCTAATACAGGCAGAGTATCACCTTGACCTCAACTGGGAATGTGTGTATCTTGTGAATCAAATTTTTCCCCACTACTTTGTATTCTCACATGGCCACGAAAACACCACAAGTATTGATTCTGGATTTACAGATAAATTTTAGTGAGTCTCTGGTAGCATAGTGGCTAAGTCACTTGCCTGTTAACCAGAAGGCTGGCGGTTCAAACCCACCAGCCACTCCTCGGAAGGAAGGTTGGGCAATCCTACTTCCGTAGTGATACTGCCTCGAAAACCCAAGGAGGGGTCGCTATGAGTCGGGGCCGACTCGACGGCACATAACAACAACAACAACAGGTAAATTCACAAATACAAAGTCTGCAGATAATGAAGATGACAGAGAACCAAAAATAGCAAACATCCACCTACCATTAATACACAAGAGGACCTACCACAGAAACCACAGCTATGGACATATCCAAAGTAAAATAAACTTAAAAGATTGTAAACAGGGAGCGAGAGACATCAATTGGCAAATGAGAACAACTACAAACCAAAAAGAGGGAAGATACTGTGTAGTTAGAGAACTTGAAAATGGCAAGGAAATCAAGAGAGTTGCAAGATAGAATGGACTGTTCTAAACTCGGGGAGGTAATTATAAATCACAGGGTAACCTTAAAGAAAAATGATAAACCTTCACATTACAATTAAAAAGAAGACAAGCACAAATACTCAGCAAACACTAAAACAACAGCAACAAAGGCAATGATAAAACAATTCATAAATATAATGAGATCAGCACAGAAAATATGGAAGAAACCAGGGACACCATGAAAAAACTCATAACAGCAACCAATTCATACTTGTTATTAATTACACTGAATGTTAATGGGTTAAATGCACCACTCAAGAGACATAGAGTTGCAGATTGGATAAGAAAACAAAACCCAAACGCATCAATATGCTGTCTACAAGAGACACATCTTAGAAACATGGACAAAAATAGACAAAATCAAAGGTTGGAAAAAAATGTATCAAGCAAATGGTAACCGTAAAAGAGTAGGAGTGGGAATATTAATTTTGGGTCAAATTGACATTAAAACAAAAACTACCATACAAGACAAGGAAGGACATTATATAATGATTAAATGATCAATTGGGAGCTGTGGAAGCATAGTGTCTACCACATTTGACTGCTAACCATTAGGCTGGTGGTTCAAACACACCAGCTGCTCCTTGGAAGGAAGATAAGGTGATCTAGTTCCATAGTGATACTGCCTCAGAAACCCAAGGAAGGGTCGCTGTGGGTTGGATCCGACTCCACGGCAATGAGTTTTTGTTGTTGTTGTTGCTTTGGTTAAAGGATCAATTGTACAAGAAGATAAAACCATTTTAAATATCTATGGACCCAATGAAAGAGCCCCAAAATACATACATCAGACTTTAAAAGAGTTGAAAAAGCAAATGGATGACTCCACAGTCATAGTGGGAGACTTTAATACACCACTTTCAATGAAAGAACAACTGGAAAGAAGCTCAACAAAGTGCAGAAGAGCTAAATAATACAATCCACCAACTTGACCTTGTAGACATCTACAGAGCACTTCACCCAACAGCCACAAAATATACATTGTTTTCCTGTGCACATGCAACATTTTCCATTATAGACCATATGTTGGGCCATAAAACATGCCTTGATAAATTTAAAACCATTGAAACACTGCAAAGCATCTTCTTAGATCACAATGCTATCAATTTAGAAATCAACAAAAGGAAGAGCAAAGGAAAAAGAGCAAACACATAGAAACTGAACAACACCCTTCTTAAGAAAGTCTTGGTAAGAGAAGAAATAAAAGATGAAATTGAAAACTTCTTGAATCAAATGATAATAAAAACACACCATAGTAGAATCTTTGGGACACAGCAGAAGCAGTGATCAGAGGCAAATTTATTACAATAAATGCACACAACAAAAAAGAATAAAGAACAAAAATGAACACTTGAAACCAACATTTCCAACAAGTAGAAAAAATACAGCAAGAAAAGCCTACAGTCAGCAGAAGAAAAGAAATAATTCGAGCAGAAATCAATGAAGCAGAAAAGAAAGACGATAGAAAAAATGAGCAAGACCAGAAGTCAGTTTTTTGAAAAGATTAATAAAATTAACAAAACATTGGCAAATTTCACAAAGGAAAAGAGGGAGATAATACAAATAACATGAATAAGAAACGAAATGGGTGACATCACAAGAGAACCAACTGAAATAAAAAGAATACTATCAGGATACTATGAAGAATTATACTCCAAAAAATTTGAAAATCTGGAAGAAATGGACAGATTTCTAGAAACACACCATTTACCTAAATTAACACAGTCTGAGGTGGAAAAGTTGAACAGGTCATAGCAAAAGAAAAAATTGAACAGGTCATAAAAAATGCCAACTAAAAAAATTCCTGGCCCAGACAGTTTCACCAGAAAATTCTACGAAACAGAGAAAAATTGACACCAATAATACTCAAACTATTCCAAAACATAGAAAAGGATAGAGTCCTCCCTACCTCATTTTATGAAGGAAGCATAGCCTTGATAACAAAACCAAGCAAAGACATCACTCAAAAGGAAAACTACAGACCAATATCCCTCATGAATATAGATACAAAAATCTTCAACAAAATCCTAGCCAATAGCCTTCAACAACATATCAAGAAAATCATTCATTATGACCAAGTGGGGTTCATATCAGGTGTGCAAGGATGGTTCAACATTAGAAAAAAAAACC